TTTACTTTAACAAGATCTGATCGCTACAAGTGCAATAAAAAGTAAAAGTGCTGTAATTATCAATTTCTCGAGAAGCATTGTTTAGTCAACCATTCTGCAAATATATTTTAATGGCAATATGATAAAATAACAGACTGATATAGTATGCCAGAATGCTATCTATCATTATATATATAATACAGGAAGTATACATATGAATATTATAAGCTAGTGCTATTCGAATTTTATAAAAGTATTCCACTGATTCTGCTTTCTAAATAATCATATTTTGGTGTAAATGTTCAATATCCCAGGAAATAGTCTTTATTATTTTTAGATAATGAATGCTCGCCTCTTTATTGTTATCTTGGAAAACCATATCTGCAATTTTTACCCTTTTTTTTCATACTATCATCGAAAATGATGGGACTTACATTTTAGGCTTCTTTAAATCTCCCTTTAAATATATTTTACACTCTTTAAATTCTGTTTAAATATAATTTACTACTTCTGTACTTGGTCTATTTTAGGGAAGCACTGATACATTTGAAACGTAAATGTCAGTGCGATTTCTTATCCTTTAATCTGTACTATTATTATTATCATTCTTACCAATATTTATTTTTACATGTTTATTGAAGCATTAATTCGATTATGGTAATAATAAGAATATTTTTATAGTTCAATTGTAGTAGATTAAAAATGCTATAGTTAATATCTTTAGCTTTTTCATTGCTAAAGAAGTTAATCTTTTTGCTTTTTCTGAGAAATCTATTTGTATTTGTTCAAACTCTTTTAAGAAATTCTCTTGTTTATCTTCTTTAAGCCAAGACACAATATATTTTAGTATTTCTTTTTTCTGCTCTATAAAAACTTTTATTTCATCAAAACTGTTGCTTACTTCCTGCACCCGTTCCTGATAATTTATTCCATCTGAAGCAATACTATATCCTTAACTTTCTTGATTAAATTACTTTTCTATCTCATATGTTAATAGTTTGTTAATATCTGTGACACTATTTGTAAAAAAAATTTTGATATTTGTTCATATTACGGGACATTATAATGATAAAATTTCCATATCTAAGCTATTCTAACAGATAAGATATTAAGGATAAGAAAGATCCTAATGATTATCGGGAGCCAACTATAATGATTCATTTGTTCACAGAGTATAAAATGAGCATAAATTTCGCTAATTTTGTATCAGAGTAATCCATTTTGACTACCGTAAGCAGAAGAATGAGCAACTTTAGCAGCAGTTACCTACTAAATTCTTCAACACGACTCTGATAACAGTCGCTGCTTCATTCGCAATCGATCATTCGTTCCATATTCTTTTCAGATTCACAGAATAATCTAATAAATATTCATGTAGCTTTGACTTACTCTATGAGATGTTCTTGTTTTGAAGGTTGCTATAAAACAGCTCGTTATGCAAAGATTATTAGAAGGCATAAAAAGGCGAAAATCTTACTGTCTTCTGTGAAACACACAAACCTTACTGTTTCCAAGGCTTACTGCACAACAATTCATGACTAAAGTTGCACGATACATATTTCATTTCATTATTGCTATAATGTTAACATATTTCAATTATCTTGACATTTACAACCCTGTCTCGACAAAAAATTGAGCAAAACATTCCATACAACTGTTAAACTCTGGCAGGAAGTCATCAGTCTGTGTTACAGTATTCTAATATCTAATAAAAATATTCATTCTTAATCAAAAAAATTTAAGAATGAGAAAGCATCTTATTACAACAGAATGGAATTTAGTCCAATAATATCTAATAAGTTTTCATAAAAGTGGCATCTAATTCAAAACAGTCCACTAATAATTTCATTGGAAAAATCTTTCTTACTACTCTAAATACTTAATGCATTCAAAGACCATAAACAGTAATTTGTAGACAGAAAAGATATGAGGAGAAACTGCCTTTTTCTCATTGTCTGCTTAGATTTTGGTCAGAAAGGAAAATTGAAAAAGCATCTTACACTATGCAATAAAATAATATCTGCAGCAAACCATTATCGAATAAATCGGTTAACAAAGTTGTCTAGTACAGAAGATTGTCTTAACAATAAATATAAGTAAAATAAAAGTAAAAATGAATAAGATATGTCGAAAACAAAAAAGGTGACTATTAGAAACTGTTAAGGTGGAAGAAAAGGAACTGGTTAGGACAAGTTTTGCGCCAATGAAACAGTTTGCTAAGAAAGTGGATGGATAATAGTCGAGATTAGATGGAATTTGCCAACAGTAAACTATTATCTGGTACCACTGGATACAATACAGCCAGTTGCACCCATCTTTGCATCACAATTCAACACACAAGATCATACTTGAATGCAAATTATGCGTCAACAACGATGATAACGCTTTTATGTCAACAGGAAATGCACTCGCAATATATGTGTGATGATCACTATTATTTCTTTTCAATTAAGTTCAGCTATTCATATATTTCTTGATTTCTCTTTTCAGATACAATATTATGTAACACGTACATTGCCTTCTTTCAACAGCTAACCCAGAAATTCTTCACATTTTTCTTACTTTATTATTTTGATCCTCTTCTTTTGAATCTCTCTGAAAATGAAAAGTTTGCATGGAACAGTAATAGTAAGAGAATTTCAGACCATTACGCAGCATATCTGTTACAGGTTTCAACCCTGTTCAAAGATTACTATGTGGAGTAAAAAAATGGTCTGACATTAGTCATATTTATATCTAAAGATTATTGTTAAATTAAAGGGACAATGTTAATTCTCGAAAAAATTTAGTGTGTAAGTAGCTTCAGTAATTACCTTTCGTTTTTTATCCTTTTTCTTCTTTTTTTCTTTCTTCCTGTCTTTATCTTCACTGCGATGTTTCCTGTACTTTCGATCCAAATCAGCATCTTCAAAGCAAATGAGATTATAAATACAGCTTTCCGTTTGAAGACAAAAGATGTAAAATTTACCATCAAGATCATCCAAGCTCCACTTATATTTCCTTTTATGCTTCGTTTCTTCACCATTCTCATCATAATTCATTGCATCATTGCTCAGATCGTCTACTTTATTGTCGAAATATCTACAGCTTATAGCCAATGAAGTAGGGATAGTAATTTCAAACTATACAGAAATTTTATTTCAAGTTCTAATTTTACTTTTGTTTCTTTGCAATATAATTTACGTAAAATTCAGTTCATTAATTTAACACAATTTACTTCGTGTGTCCCGTACTATGTGCATATTTACTAAGCATTATTCGATAATAAATCTGTATGTTTAAAAACACCTGTAGGGTTCGGGGACCGCACCTGGCGTGAGTCTAAATCCAGCCATTGCACCCGCAGAAAGGCTGGTAATCTCTTTTCCAGTGATCGGTGGTTTTTCCACCAACATCCGCAATGAACTAAAATAAGATATAATGAAGAATACATGTAGAAACGATCACTAAAAAGTCCAGCAGAACTATTCATTTATGGATTCGGTTCCTTTTCTCATAGTAACATGACAATAAGTCGAAAAACTATGAAGTCTAAAGGAAACAATTCTCAAATTTCATTATTCTTTACCTATTCAAAGTTGTTTTCTGTATATCTTAACTTATTTGAAGTTCCTGAGCAAATGCATCGTTTTAACACCTTAACATTTGCTACCGACATTGATACGGCCGTCTGCTGAAAAAAGTATCTAGGAAAATCAGAATCAGTAGTTAAAAGATTGCATCAACCTGAATTCCAAAGCATTTTCGAAATTGAAACTGCCAACAAGATGCGGAAGGAAGGAGCCGAGATCCTCCCGTAATCGCTTTGAGCCACAAAAGCGTTGATAAGATGAGCCCATATCATATTCCGCCAATAAATCGTTACTACCAAGTAAAACGCTCTGTTCTATAATATTCATAAGTAAAACTCTCCCATCAAAAAAGTCCCAAATAACTAGACCAATCGAATCCTTTATTATATAAATAAAAAAAGTTCTCGGAAATTTTATTTAAACACAATCAAATTGCATTCATATTGGAGAAGTTTCATGATTTACTTCATTAGACTGCCAGCTTTCATCACAACAAGTGGTATTATCAAACTGTAAACAGCAAACGATCGTATCATAGAGGATATTTCAAACTCTACCAGTAATTTATGACATATTCCTTGACCTCCCCATCACACTAAAAGAATTATCAAGATTTCACACAGCTTTTCACTTCTTTTAATACACGAGTTTTCGACATAATTAAATCATATCTGTTATCTACTTACGTTTTAATGAGTAAAAGTAGAAAACAAATAGAACGATGAAACTCACGCGGTAACTCGGGTTTCATCAAATGAAAAGGACACACTAACGACAGCTGCGAATATCTACCCTTTAATGATATTTTTGTACGTAATGAACCTGATGATGCTACACCGTTTCCAATAGAATCCATCTCCAAACTTTAATCTGAAATAACAAAACTGGACAAAGCTCAAACTTTTATTAGCATTATTTCAGTGTTTCACCAACAAATAACCTTTACAAATAGATTTAATATAAGAAAATAATAATGGCAAACAAAATAACTTCGATCAATGTATAGCAGATAAACTTATGAAAGAATTATAAACATAATCTAAACAATTACACTATAAGTTCAAATTTAAGAGGTTAGAAGGCTAGGAATGTTTTTTTTTTTTTTTTTTTTTTTGTATCACGACTTCATGCAACTATTATTCATATACCATATAAGATTAATGATGTATACAAACAGAACAAGTTACATTAGACCGGATAAGGGCAGTTTTTAATACTGATCTTAACGACTGCATAACGTAAAGGTTACGAATGATCTAGACATGTATCATAGAAATCAGAAATTAGGCAGAAATAATACTTCAACCTTTTGTTCTCAAAAGAATAATCCTTTCCCACAACCTCTGTAAGAATTCGGAAGATTACCATTCGCAACTCGTGTCTTGACCTGAATTGGAATACCCGGGAGAGGGCTGCTTGAATTTTAATCAAGTAGGGAAATTGTGGACGATGGTATCAGATGGTCAGATGAGAGAAAATGGTATGATTAATATGCCATGGGTGGAAAAGTATCGTCCAGCTTCTCTCACTGAACTTGTTTCTCATCAAGAAATCACTGATACGCGTGAGTTGTGCTACCTTTTGCTGATCCATGTTAGAAGAAATACCAAATAATATGCTAGTTTGTAGATTTTCCCAAACTTACCATTCATTTCCATGAGAGAATTACTGCTAAAGCTTTCACTGGAGTTACATTTTATTTTTGGTTAGTAATACATCATATTTGTATCTTCTGATTTAGTTATGAAATTGATCAATGAAAATCGATTGCCGCATTTACTATTTTATGGCCCTCCTGGAACTGGAAAAACGAGTACCATATTAGCTGCTGCAAGGATGCTCTATACATCAAAGCAGTTATCGTCGATGGTTTTAGAGGTGCACTTTTAAATCGAAATTTATGAAAATAGCACTTGATATTCAACATTTTGCTTCCTTTTTGTAAGTGGCAAGAAAGCTTTTATATTATTGCACTACAACTTTCCTAAACAGGTTTCTTGATATGAATATTTTTCTTTCTTGTCGACATCCTCTTTAGATTTTCGAGTCATGATTTCCATTTTTCAATATTTCTTCCAGTTTTATATATTTTTTAGCTAAACGCATCTGATGATCGAGGCATAGGGATTGTTCGAGAACAGATCATTAATTTTGCTCAAACAAGTACTTTAAATGTGGACAAGAATCAAAGCAGTGTCCCGAAATTGATCATCTTAGATGAGGCTGATGCTATGACGAAAGATGCACAGAGCGCCTTAAGGTATTTTTGTGTTGAGTTGATTAATTTGATCTACAGAAGTTATGTTTTCTGTTCTTAAAATGGGTTCTTCTTTTAGACGTGTAATTGAGAAATTCACGGACAATGTTCGATTCTGTATTATATGTAATTATTTGTCGAAAATCATCCCGGCAATCCAATCGCGGTGCACACGTCTACGTTTTGCTCCACTTTCAAATGTTAGTCTTTTCATTAATGTTATATTTTTGTACAAAATATTTTGTTTGCAAGCATTTCTAGCAAGCAGATGACATTCAAATTATGAATGATTAAAAGGGAAAAATCATCTGCATTTATCTCATTATGAAAGAATTATAAGGTATTCTTTTAGGAGCAAATATTGCCACGGCTGCATCATATCGTGCAAGTGGAAACACTCACTGTAACGGAAGATGGTCAGAAAGCATTATTAAATTTGGCCGAAGGAGACATGAGACGGATTATAAACATTTTGCAGGTAAACATTTTCTCTTTCATGATTATTACTTCTGAAGGTATCTTTTAGACTGAATTAGATTCGTAATGTGAAAGTTGATGAGTGCAACACTAGTAGCTCAAAAATAGCTGATGGATAAAGAGGATAGTAATTATATATAATATCATATCACTTCTTGTATAGCAAATATTTTATCATCTGTAAAATGTTATAATAAATGGGTTTTCTAATATCAGTTGTTTTTATTAAGAACCTTATCTATTAGATAATGGATGACAAAATATTTGCTCAAACAATAACTTTCTGGTAACTATCTGGTTTCCGTGATTTATGTATGAATTTTAGAGCACAGCAATGGCTTTTAAAACGGTTGATGAACTGAATGTTTATCGGTGTGTGGGTTATCCTTTACCAACTGATGTTGAAAAAATTGTGAAAATACTATTAAATGACTCAATAGAAGATGCTTACACAAGTAATCTTTTAAAATTATTAGTAAATATTAGCAGGGATTTTATATTTTCTGAAGACTATCATTTAAAAATACGTAGTTTGATATGGTTTTTTTTAATGGCTTAGTTTGATATGTTAATGTTTTTTAAACCAGCCGCTGAAGTCTTAATTACGAGGTCTTGCTAATTTTTTGTTTTTGCAGTGGTAAATATCTGATAGAAACCAATACAAACTTTTTACCGCTGTTTTTGTTTTGCAGAAATAGAAGAAATTCGAACTGAACGAGCATTTGCACTCAGTGATATATTAAACTCAATGCATGAATTCATTTTCCGTCTGGTAGTACCACCAGAATTATTGAGTCGATTGTTGATTTGTATGGCAGATATCGAATATCATCTGTCGCAGGGTTGTTCAGATCGTTTACAGCTTGGGGCCTTAATTGGTGCTTTTATCAACACTCGTCATGAACTGGCAAAACTTGCTCCTAGTTTAGAAGTCATACAGTGACAATCTGAGTTTGATCTTTAGTTTCTATATAAAGTGCAAGAACTGCATGGGAAAATGCTCCATAAGAAAATCTGATTAACACTAAAGTTACATGTAACATGTGAAGCTAGGTATTTAATTTTGGAATTTGTCCTTTTATTGTAACGAATATTTGGCTTAGAATTTCGTAAGGCAATAACTAATGATCTTTAATTAGAAATTTTGTGTCTAATTTAATAACATGCTTGTGATTCGTGGCAGTTGTTTGTATTTTTTTGACAAATTTTAAATCATATCTTTACTTTTTCTTGTGATCTCTTAAATAAATTCTTATTTTTTCATAAATTGATATTGTGTTTCTTGTTCCTTTGCTGATTAAAGTTTATTTGAATGAAGGATCTGTGATCGCTTTGATGTTTTGACACTGTTTCATAGAAATATGGGAGATTTAATGATGTTGCTAGAATTTGGTAAGTTGTCACTAGTGAGAAACGAAGAATAGAATGTATTCATCATATTTTGTTGACATAGAGGGATTTTGTTTCAGGTAAGATGCAGAGCTCAGGCGTTGGTCCGAATCAGCCGGTATACTATCAACAGACTCAAGGTGTGTTTCTTTTAATTGGTATTTATTCTTAGTTGCAAATCAGAATTGAGTACAAATTGTCCGGGGCAAATATACTTTTGTGATTATATCAGTATCCAATCAATTCTAATAAGCATAAAATGTGCGAAGTAAGAGTTCAGTGTAATATTAAACAATCTCGAGTTTTTCTCAATATGTGAGCTGTTAAGGACGACATACGTCTATAAAGATAAAGATCTGGTAAGAAAAAAATATTGCGGAAAGTACCATGGTAGATTTTGTGAATGGAAGAGAGACTGTAGTAAAAGGGATTTGAACATTTGCTCAAGTGTGAACTGCTGCAGGCGGTGCTATGATGATGGGTTATCCACCATCCACAATAGATGAACGTCAGCAACAGCAGGTAATGAATATGCAAAATTTATCGGCAGCTCAGATCTATAGTGGTACAGGTGCAAATATACAAAGTATGCCGGGAAGACAGTATTCCGCGGGTACCGTTCAGGAATCTTCACCGGGTATAAGGCCATCATCACATTCTCAGTCTAATTATCAGTTAGGAGTACAATCACAAACGCCAAATGAGCAGCAGCAACAACAACAACAGCAACAGCAATTTCAAAATCGACAATTATATCAACCTCAACAACAACCACAACAGTGTACTCAAAGGTATATATGGACAATATTGTTGATTAAGAGCTGGCAGTATATTCATGATATGCAAAAAATAATATTGGTATTAAAACGTACAAAGGCGGCAAGATGAATAACCAATCCAAGTTATTAAAATTGCAGAATATCGGATCAAGTCGGTGAAAAATCAAAAAAGGAAGAAACAAAAGCAGCTCGACCAATGAATCCTCCGCCATATTCTCCCGAGATCTTAAGTGATTTATCGAAGTATTCGGTTGCTTCGTTGGCATGCATTGGTCGTGAACTGGTCCAGGAATTATTGTTGAGGTGTGTTAATGTCATGCATTGCACCGTTTTTTCCTTTCTGCTTCCTTATTAGTACAATCCATTTGTTTGCTTATATTCTAGACAAAGTGAAGAAATTTGATTTAGCGGGATTCCAGGAACTGATTGGTCATTTAGTACAACATGAGTTAATGCAGTCCGATGATTAGCTTGATCATTCTTAAAGGAAAGCTCACAATGAACTCATGGAAATAAAATTTCTGATTGGTATGGGCTTGTCTTTTGGTTAATGTATTAAGAGCAGAAATGATTGAATTTCTTTGCAGAACTTATACACTTATGACAAGCTTAACGAAATCAGTAGATCGTTGGCATCAGCAGCAGGGTGTGAGTGATCCAGAACAACTGCTTTCATATTGTGAGTATATTTTATCGAAGATCACGGAAATAAGACTTCGAATTGATTATGTACCAAGGGTGGCTAATATCAGTGAAGATGAATTCATTACATTGATGAGCGACCCAAGTCCTCCACAAAAACCTCCTGAACTGGTATTAATTTCTTATTTTATGTGATATGAAAATCTATGACAGCACTCTTATCATTTTTATGCATTTTAATGATTTATTTAACAAAATTAGGAAATTGAATGGGAATTACTTGGATTTGAACGAGTCTTCCTCTATTTATTGTTGTAAAAAAAAAAACTTTCATGTGTAGTTGAACTTATGAAGATTGAACGGTAATAGACCTTCTTATGAAACATATAATTAATAAGATTTTTGTGAGAGTCTTGTTGCTATTTGTGTTGCAAATATGCATTTCAGACAGTCAAAGAGGAAACATTCGAAGTGCAACGACGAAAGTTGGTGAAATTGAATACAGCACTAAAAAATCTGGATTGGATGTGTTTAGTTTCAGACCCACGCTTTTTAAAGAAAGCAGATAAGAATTGATTTTATTTGTAACAGCATTCGTTCTATATATGTTTCTCAGCCAATTTATCGTGAAGATTTACAAATGTTTTTCTTGTTTCTTAAGTAGTGATATGTCAATAATTGTGTAATTGAGAAACATTTATGCAATGATGAGATCATTATGGTTCACTCGTTTTAAGACTTCAAACATGAGATTAGCATATGCCAATGAAGTTAAAGATTTGTATTTTCAATAGTCATTTTACAATTGTTATCCTCTTTCTTGTTATATGTATTATAAAAGGTATTATAAACACTGTTCGTTTCGAATATAATCCAAGCAGCATTCCAGTACGTGATTCGGAAGTCGTTTTTTCCTGAAATATAAAATTTTGGAATGATTTATTAGCAAATAAATATCATATAAATTTGTATTCTTGGTTTTCCATATAGAAATTGGTCAAGACCTTTTCGTGCTAATCCGTTTTAATAATTTCAACATCTGATTTCAATGTTTCGTAAAACTTTCAGTAAATAATTACTTTAACATTTTAGCTCGGTATTTTATGGTATTGTTTATCATAACACTTTGATCATCACATATCTTCTGATAGGAAAGATTCAAACATGTTCCAGATGATTCGCTTCAGAGACCCGTACTTTTAATGGTTGTTTGCAGTGGGATTTTGCATATATATTATTGCTTTATATTATTGCTTTGATAATTCTTACCATTTGCATCTCCGCCAAATAGTGCTACGAATCTGCCACTACATGCTTGTTTAAATTTGCATTAAACTCATCCATAGACCTCACCGTTCGAGTGTTGAACACTATAACAATTATCAATCATTTTGCTTTAAAAGAACACTCACCAATCATCATGTGCAGGTTAGGTAAGTTAATGCAGTGGTCGGTGAAAATCTTTGATACGTGTGTTACCATCTATCATTTAGGATGTTAGCCAAATATTAGTCTGACTTCTAATTGGTTGCCTCTTTAATTTACTTGTTTCATGGATGCAAATCACAAGAAATAGAAGAACAGGATAACACTTACATCTTGTACTCCTTTATCAGAATAACCTCCTTGTCTAAATTAGCATCTCTAAGCTAATGTCAAGTTAAATTGTTCCATTAATAGGAGAATTATATTTTCATCATGTGAAATTTCATAAATCTTTATGGATAATCGAAACAACTTTCAATACATCGGTGAGGAGATAATGGGGAAAGGACTTCTAAACTAACATGCAGGCACCATCGATACAGATACGTCGACGGTGCCTGATACCGGTGCCGGGCGCCATACAATGCACTGCATGCAGACCACTCGGACCACGCTAAGAACAAACCGGTTGTTGGTAGCGCGCGTACCTGCGCCTGGAAACCTTTGCCACCACGATAGAATGATCGGAAGAGCACTAACATATCCTCAGTAGCTGACATAATCGATGATTTTGGAGTCCCGTAGCAACAGTATCTGAAATACGAAGATTAAAGTTATATTTTGTTGACGGAAGTTCTTTTTTTTTTCACTCTCCACAAAATTCAGTGCTTAGATTTAATCATAATTCATCTTAAATCATTTTCGCTTCTATTAATTTGAATATAAGCAATACGTCTTAGTAATAAATCTTTTATTATTGGAAATAAACTAGTAACATTATATAGAAGTATAAATATAGTATGCAATACCTCATTCCTGTATTAGCAAAGTCAGTTGAATTACGTATTTCGATATAATCCATGCAAAGTGAATGCCGCACTTTGCAGTACATCTCAAATTCACCATAGAAGCGTAACTGTACACGTTGACCAGGTGGAGCCACAAGAAGCCAGCTACATTCTTGTCCCTCTTTAAAATCTCGGGGATAATTTGGACTTGTAATACGCTTCCAACTAGACGTCAATTCTATGCGGCCACCACAATCTGCTCCAAATCCTGGCATTATCCGTTCACAAAGCTGTTAAAATGTAATTTAAATAACAAAACAATTAAGATACCGTTTTATTATCAATCTTCGAATTATTAAAATGATCAAATTATATCTGATTTTCTTCTTCTTGTTCAAATCTTTTGTCAGGATTTATAATGTTAGAAATTAGCTACATGATTGAATATTTCTTGAACAGTGCTTTTGAATATTAGTTTTTTCTAGTCTATTCTTTTCTAATATTTATTTTTATATAATTTTTGAATTGTCATCTTTTACATGTCTATAAAGCAATGCATTTTTTTGAATATACGATAATAAATTTTAAATAAAAAAAGTATAATACATATACATACTTTTCCAGTGAATCCATCTGGACAACGACATCGTCCACATCTCCTTGGGTCCGTATAACCACCACGTTGACATGGTAATTTTTGTGCACATGAATCACTACAATATATTACATTCATAAGACGGATATCATTGAATGATAATTGATCTCGTTGTCCAATAGTCTTTTGATAATCCATTATATTAGTATTCAATGTAAACAAATCCTCATATCGACCAAATGCTTTGCTTCTGTAATTCAATTTTCATAGTAAATGTTTGAAGTGAAACTAACAACAAACGAATGTTCTTTTCCTATATACAATCTCATCCACTCTTTGCCCATTTTCAAATGTATTTAGATTAAATAGCAAACTGGATCATTTCATTAATAGTTCTGTTTTATGATGTATTAATTAACTATTACTTTCTAGGATTGTTCAAAAAAGAAACGAAAAAAACAAGATCTTAATAACAGGAGATGCAAAATATTTGAAAATTAATAAGTTCTTAAATTATTTTGAGGGTTTGCATAAATTACAGTGAAGCGACTTTTCACCTGTAATGCATAATACTACCATAATCATATGGTACATCACCATTATCTACATCAGTTGGTAATTCCTTTAGAAATTGTCCCTTGCTATCACGATCAATATTTTCCCAGCGAACCGTAACATAATTATCACGATCAGGTCGCGATTGCTCATGCCAAAAACCTAATGCATGTGCCACTTCATGTGCTATCACTCCTAACTGTAATTGTCTTTTTTAAGTAGTATCAGTATTATTAGGATTTAAAAAATTTTCATTTGATTTCCATTAACTAAATAAATATAAAAAACATAAAGCAAATCTTTTTCTCGTAAAAATTATCATTCACTAACTATAAAATAAAACCTTCATAGTTCTGTTTTAAGATAAATAATATTTGCATATTACAGTCTGAAAAATCGACGTTTAGACGTTTAGCATACTTGGATCACGTTCTACGGGTATCTTAAAAACGATATACATTTGAGTTATAGTATAGAAGTTAACAGAAGATAAGACTTACTCGAATGCATTCTGGTGCCAATGAGACAAATTGTGGTTCACCAAGAGGATGTCTGCCAACATTGGATGCGCATCCATCTACATCCGTAAAAACAATTCGGTTTTCCTGAATCTCATCATCTCTACGCTCAAAATTCAAACATGTTATATTGTGCCAATGTTCAAGCGCTAACTCGATTACTCGTTGTTCACGTATAGCTAAAATTATCATAATATTACTACAAAATTAGTTTTATGGAGATAGAAATTGAAAGTTTGTCAGAGATAAAAACAGTGTTTAATTAACATCAATATTATTAGAATTTAAAAGTTTTCATTCGATTTCCACTGACTGAATAAAACATAAGGCAAAATTCCAACGAGTGATTTACTATAATTTCTGAATTGTTTTCTCAGCACTTTACCAATAATACATTTTTGTAATAAAATTGAATAAGAAAAAGAGGAAACTCTTTTTTTTTTTAATTTGTAAGAAATATTTTTTAAAAAATTGCTTTAATTGTTAAAAGTTTCAAAAAAACACTAAGAATTTTGAATTTTCATCTTCAATTCTCATTCTCAGATATTAATTTGAGAAATTTTTCCTTTCCAAGCAGTATGATATTTGAAGAGATTTTTTTTTTTTAGTATATAATTTTATGGTATATTTGAATGGAGAAATATCTACTTATAAACCTGTACCATGCTAAACGAATATGACAGATTCATATGATTTAAAATAACCTTCAAAATCAATGGTGCAAAAAGATGAATAGATGAAATAGAAATAAACTTTCAAGTATATTTCGATATAATGAATCTAATTAGGCACATATAATTATGCAATTCATTTATAATCAACAATGTCATTTTTATTTTCTACTTGTCCATTCTTTTTTTTTTCTGTTCCAATCATTTAATACTAATTCTTTTCACAAATAGAAAGAATGAAATTGAAAAAAAGTAATTTGACACAAGTCAATTTGTGTATTACTAATTAATTGCATGTATTAAAAAAGAGCTATGTGGAAAGAAGAAAGGAAAAAAAAGAAAAAGACTTTTCACTTTCCGTTTACAAATGTGATATAATTTCTACTCTCTTTAATTCGCTTAAAGAATGGTCGATGAAAAATGGACAAAATTCTTTCAGCCCTAAGTAATTAATTTTTTTTTTTTTATTTTCTTTCCCATTTTTGTCTTACAGATTATAATACTGATGGAACTGAAACTGTGATTATATGATTTGCGCTTGTAATTATTTTTGTTATTCAAATATTGTTTGTTCACTATGAATGCAAGAGAAAAAAAAAGTTTTCTTTCAAGTGAAATCAAGCCTTATCCTAAAATTTTTTATTTCTAAGAATTAAAAAAAAATTAAGTTACTCAAATACCTATCAATAAACATTGGCAATTCTTAAATTCTCATTTTTTGTAAAAAAAAAAAAAAATTACTATGTGACCCGTCGAAACTGTAAATAATCGGTTTGTGTGAATCCCATCGACGTAATTCGGAACGGATAAATTTTCGTTTTGTACGCCGTCCATGCTGTATCATACTTTCATAGATTTCATGAGCTTGTTGTGCGTCCAAAACAATGTCACCTGAAGCAATGAGCGTAAAAAATTAAATGATTTAATAAAACTTAAATAATGCAACATCTGGACAACTATTTTACTATTACTGTCGCACATATCTTCATTCAGAAGTCAAAAGTATTAACTGAATAATCATAATAATTCTTTCATAATTTTTTAACTTGCAAATTATAACCTTCCATATGTTAATTTAAATTTTCCCAAGGATCATTAAATTATTCTGATATTGAAATATCTTTGAAGCATGCTCCAATGTACTTTAAATCTAATTCGTCGTGAATAATTGAGCGGTGATTCCTTTTTTGCTTTTTCTTTCTTTTCGTTACAATACAATTTCAAATGTCACAAAGTACAATATAATTTCAAATGTCATCCATCATTATTATGTCAGTAGTATAAAATTCTGGTTGATGTGACCCAGTTATATTAATTACTTTCAATAAAAAAAATATTCTAGAAAAAAGTGAATTCGTGCAAAGATTATTAAATATGATTATAATCGCTATTAAAGTAGTACGTATATACAGATATTTATATATTATACTTAAAAGAGGTCAAATATGGATATTATCGATTTAGATACAGAGAAGACAGAATGAATTAGAAAGGATAGAAATGATGAACTGCACATAATCCGGTCCGAAAAGAAAAAGTTTTCTGAGACTGGGTGATGGTGACGATGATGATGACGATGACGATGGTGATGACGATGATGATGACGATGGTGATGATAATAGTGATACTCATAGATGTCAAAGGGTTGAACAATAAAGGCAGTGTTTTAAAAAAAAGCGTCTAATATTTATCGTTGTAGCGCTGAATAGTTCAAGATATTACGCGGTTTAGATAATTATACTAATTTCAATGATATCACCAGGTATCCTTATCACTAATTAATTAACACAATAAAATACATCTTCAATGTAATAAATAATTCCAGCTAGAAACAACAGGATGCGTTAATCATATACTAAAAAATAAACTCTTACCTTCATAGTATTGACCATTTTCTTCCGGGTTTAATGTAATGCTATCTTTTTGTCGTTTTTCAAATTTCGCAACTTCTATTGCAGTTTGTAAATCGCCCTGTCAAATGAGATATATTTGATTTTCTCATTTTTTTCTAACAGCTCATTTCACCTTTTTTAAACAATAAAATATTCAGTATTGATTAATCACGATTATATCTGTTTGTTACAAAATTTCAATACGTACACCTGAGAAGATGAATTGTTAGCAGTAATTTATTATCCAGTGGATTAAGAGAATTCGCCAGTAATCACTTTCTTCTTTTCCTTTTCTATCACTTACTATTTAATTATCATTGAGTTCAACAACTAAATACATATTTTATATTGATCCCTTTCTATATCTCTTTCCTTTCCTTTTTTTTTCTCTTTCTTTTTCTTTTCTTTCGTTTACTTTGATCGAATAAAAAGAAAAACAAAGGGATTTTTTATGTTAAAATGAGTGAAATCGTTAATGGAATATTATAATCTAACTGATGGATTGCTTCCCGCTCCATTAATTTTTTTTCCTTTGTAGCATATTTTGAAATATAAGATTAAATTTAAACTATCAAAAATTAATGTTTCAGTTATTGTGAAAAAAGCGAAATGTTATCGATGATTTAAAGAATATGATGCAAAATATCAAATAAATCATTTCACTTTGTCTTATCATATCATATCTTATATCATAATTTTGTTCTTGCTGTATTTTTATTATATTGTTAAACAAGGTTTAGGAGAAAATTATCATTATTAGACTGCTCTCCTATAATAATGAATAAAAAATAATTATTTATTTGCTATCGCTGATAATGAAGTAAAAAATCCTGCATTTCGGGTTTCCGATTTGTTCACCCAAATATCATGTGCTAGTTGTAGTTGTCAGTACATTTCCTCTGCTACAATACATTACATTTATCAATGATAAAATGAATGATTTTCTCTAGACAAGTTGAGTATAAGATGTGAAAACTGGTTGATAGAGAGAAAAGATCTTTAAGAGGATTGTATCAATAAATGAATTATAGTGCTATGTCATGTTAGCAGGAGAAAAGTGTTGAACAGATTTCAAAAAGTAATTATAAAATATAACAAATTGCTGAAAATTTACTTTTGTACCTGAAAGAAAAAATTTTTTTTGATAATTTGGAAGTATTAATAATAATAATAATAATAATAATAATAATAATAATAATAATAATAATAATAATAATAATAATAATAATAATACCTCAAAAGATTCCCAAAAATCAATATTATTTCTTTTTAAGAATGATTTTATGAATGGTAAATATTTGAAAGCAAACAGTAGCAGTAAAGCATATTCTTTTTCTGAAAACTTCGCATGTAAGAACTAATTGGTCCAAATAATTTGTTGCATTTATCTTATTAATTTGGACATAAATGACTATTTTTATTATTATTATCTTTCTGTTTTCAAAGTAATTAAATTTAGTCACCAGTGGAAATATGTTTAAAAATTTTTTACTCTAATCTGCAAAAATATTATCACTCACTTTTGGGGTGCAGTATTTTTTTTCACATTTTGCATATCTTAAAATTAATCATTATTGTTCCTTTGTAAACAAATCTTTCCGAATAATTGAAAAAAAGCTACTGACAAGCTAATATTTGTCAATTCTAAAAATCATCACTAAAGTTTATCAATGTAATAACATTAGTGCTGCAATAATTTTAAATCTATGGATTAGAGTTTTACTTAATTATATTACATTGTCAAAAACTTGAATTTTTTATTTCTGTATGAGGATATTAACGATACTATTCCATTGTCCATATAATCAACAACAATGCATGGGAGAGACATGATTAATTCGACAAGATATCGTCAATTTTAAAAATAAAATGTCATTAAGCAACCAGTATAGTTCATAGGTTCAGTATTTTCTTTTTCATGTCCTCGTAACCTGTTTCTTATGCCGCATTCACCTCACTCTCTCTGTACAATCTTATTTATTGGTTTTTGTTTTTTATTTTTCTTTTCTTTTCTTTTCTTTTGTTTACAAACAACAATTAGTTTTCTTGTGACAGTGTTATTTCTTTTATTCTAAACGAAAGTTAAAGTAAAGAAAAAATTTGATAAAACAAATAAATATATTATATACATTACATTGGCTTTTGCGAAGCAAAAATATTTAAACAGTTCTTTAGCATTGATAATGTTAAGAAAGTTTTTTTTGTTATTGTTGAATAAATGATTTGAAAAAATTTTTTGATGAAAATTTCTAAGAAATAATGGTTGTGATACTATTGTTATATCTTACTCATTTTATTTATTTTATTGCGAAAATTTTTCATCAATTCTGACTATTATTACTGTAAAGTTTGAAAAGTTTCATAAATAAGAATTAAGAAGTACTGTGATTTTTTCATGCACCACAACAATTTTTCAAAGAAAAAGTTAAATCATAATTTCAAGTAAAATTAAATTAGTTTATTTGTAGACCACTAGAATCTTCAAATCTTCAATTATCGCTTATAATAAATGATGGTTAGATAAGTGTGCTAAAAAATTTAGGAGAAGTCAAATAGTAAATGAAGAGAAGTGCAAAAATTGCTTGAAATTTTAATAATTTTTTCATTATTATGCTGAATTTTTGAACTAGAAATTGTTTTATTTAAATAAAATACAAAAATAACATTTAAGAAATATCCACCTTTATCGCTTCGGAATCTTTTGTGGTATGTTGTTGACGGATTTCCTCTGGATGTTGCTTAGCTTCAAATTTTTGAATTTTCTCCAGATAATATTTGACTTTCTGAATCTCTTCTGCGCTTTGCCCAAATGTTTTTGCTTTTTCTTGAAATATTCTCTGGGTGGCAGTAGTTGTAGTAATAATAGTAGAAATAATAGTAGTTGTAGTAATAGTAGTAGCACTAACGGATTCGATGCTATCGTCTTGTAGTGATACAAAAGGATATCCATAAGGGTCATTAAGAAAGAATGCTCCGTTGGAAGGTGCACTACAGGTACATACAATTATCATGACAAATATTAACCAGTAATTAGTGGTGATTAATTCTTCTATACTGTCTATCAAATTTCTACCACCAGTGATAGTAGCAAAAAAGCTTGAAAAAGTCCTACTAAGGAAGGGCTTTAATAATGCCATATAACCTGGACATGTACCGATGTACAGGTAGCAAGAATGAGGTAGATCTCCTTTACAGTATAGCAAGAAAAATTTCTCACCAGTGTAGTTAGTTTAGCTCAAAATAATTGTTGGAAGAGAAGTATCATTCGGAAAGTATGCAAATTATCCTCTCGTTCTTTCTTCGTTTCCAAATAATGCTACTTCGTTTTGTAGTCTAAACAATTAAAGTTTGAACTATCTCTCTGATTAATTAGATATAAGTTACCAAAATAATCTAACCTTTTATATTATTTATTTTATTGCTATTAAAATGTAAGAAGTAAAATGTATGATTTCATTATCACCACAATCATCACAACATTGCCACCATCATCATCATCATTTACTATCACTACTACTTAAATAGAACGAAAGATAACGGTGGTAATATGGTGTTCAATTATTCGGAAGTGAGAGAGAAAATATAATTTAAGAGCAGGTAAAAGGAGAGTATTGCTAAAGAGAATAATGGCGGTGATCGACGACACACGCCAGTTTCATCTTCCTTTTCCCTTATCGAAATACCGCCCATGCACACCATAACAACCCGATCACTGCCACTCTATTCTTTTCATCTTAACACTAATGTGGTGTAAATGCTAAGGAATCCTGATAATATAACTATAACGCTCTTTTCAAATCATTAGTGATACTGGTAATAAGGATGAATGGATAGTGATAAATGCTGATCTTGAACAGTTATATCAAAAAGAAAGTGGTGCAAACATGAAAAGACTGACGATAAGAATGGATGGATCGAAGTTCGAATAGTTGAAAATTAAAAATGGAATAAAAAAAAATAAGATCAGTAGCAAATCAAAGGACTCAAAATGTTATCGTTTATTCTATTGATTCTATTAATAAATGATAATAATGATACCCGTAAAAATATAAACAAATTTGTTTGCTACAATGGATTTATAAACAAATTAATTAAAAAGTAAAAAATTGTAAGTGACACTTTTCGTATTTTTGAAAGAAACTTGCAAACAATTATATCTGACTAAAATAACTTTATTCTTTAAGGTGAAAAAAAAAGTGAATTAAATGTTAGGGATGGTAGAAATACGCTTGTTGATAAGCAATTTAAAAGCTTTTGGAATTATCTAACCATTGAAATGTTTGTTGTATGATGTTCCTTTATAATACCAAAAAATTATGGATGAAATTTTAAGACGAGCATTTATGATTTTTTTGCACATAAATTTTGACAAATTGTTTCAATTTGTTTCCGATCAGTATGATCATCTTCGTATCCAGTTTTGTGTGCACATTTTTTTCTTATTGCCAACAATATAATACTTATGAAAATATTAATGATAAAACCATTTAAGTCTAATCATGAAACCAAGAATTTATAACTTTTTTTATTTTGTCAAAGATCTATTAATTTTCCATTACATCCCTGACTATTTGATACTTTAAGAAAAAACAAATTATTTATAATATTATTACAATAATCCTTATCATCAGTACTGGTCATTAATTATTGTTGTTATTATTATTATTATTATTATTAGTAGTAGTAGTAGTATTAGTATTATTATTATTATCACTATTACTATTACTACTATTATTATTATTGTTATTATTCACTTCGTAATGAGACGCTTGGACCAGATTTTATGAAAGGATTCTATCTTATTGAAAAGTCATATTAAAAACGTCTTCTTAGTGATAAATTCGAACTCGTTACCATAAGCCTTCTCGCAAGCACTTGCATTCTGAAAATTTCGCCACTATTAAATTTATCAAACAGTGTTCATTAATAATGATAAACCCTATATCACTAGTACTGCTATCTGCATGTAAACTATTCATATAAAATGAAAACATGAAAACATCACATGAAGAAAATGCGACATAAAACGAGTAAATTTTCTTCAAAACAATCATTTTATTTTAATTCCATCTGCAAGTGCTCAATGCAATACTTCAAAATAACAATATATGAAACAAAGGGAAGATGCAATCATTTCGAATTTGATTAACTTCACTTTTGCGTGAAAGCTCAGTGATTTATGCATCATTTGTAGGTATATAGAAAAGAAAAAAACCTACAGTCTTTTAGAAGGACTGAATGATACTTGAAATGAAATTTAGATATTTTCAAATAATTATTATAATATAGGAAATATTTGCTACTGACGTAGTTGAAGAGTTATCTTTTCTTCGGAGGATAAATCTAAGACCTTCTATGACTTACTTCCCGCTTTGCAGGTAGAGCATAACGAACTTATGCAAAAATAAACCTTTTTACACCATTAATGTGTTAGTACAAAATTTTCCTGAACAAATCAGCGGAGATTAAAATACCCCAATTCCACTAGTGGCCAAAATATCTTAGTTGATATGCAATCAATTGAATTATCGAATTCACGTCGAATAAAATTCATCATTACAACTATGTTTTGTGCAAAATATAAAGAAAATGAGAGGAATGAATTAACTTTTAAATGAGACTACTGCTGATATCTTATCCACAAATATCGTATGTCCTCCTTCGACAGATATTGGCTGCCAAATGCCAACTGTTGAAAATGAAGGTCCCCAATCCCAACCGAAGCTTGCTTGTGTCTTCCTGTACAAGATGACGAAGTTATTATGAAAGATTTTGGAATAGGTAATTAACAGCAAACTCTTATTAAATCTTTTATTTCAGTAATTGTGAACAAAATAAAATAGTCTGTACTATCCAGCATCATTGCACCATCTTTACTATGATAAATAATGCACACTGTAATAGATTGTACTACAGTATTAAGTATAATCATGATAATATTTAAGATTAGAACGTTGGCACGAACTGAAAGAACTATTTGATAGACGAACAAGTTATAGATCTTTACAAAGATATGTCAAGAGTGTTCACAGTTTAGTATTTGAAGCTAGCGAAATTTTTTCTGACAAACTGGCAATGAAATGGAGAAGGAATCCCTTAATTTAAAATAAAAGTGAGAATAATGAAAGGAAAAGACAAACCTTATGAAATTAATATGACTCACCCTGGAATTCAGATACTGAACATACAGGAGGGACAGTATGGCCAAATTGTTCCTGTATTATCATTTGAAATCAGAAAATCAAACTCTAAGTCCAACATTTTCTAATTTGCTTATTTATTATGCAACAAATAAAGGAGCTCGATGCTCAATTTCTTGGAAAATGGCTAGTTTACAAAAAAAGAAAAGTTGAGAATTTTACGAAAACAAATATCAGTGAATTCTGAGTGTGCTCCCAGTTCATAGGCTTAATATAAGGTCGAGCTTGTAAGTGAGCATATGAAGCTTGTCAAAATGGAAAACTAAACCTGATACTCTTGAGATTTTTGTTTCGCGTATATAATAGGTGACTTAAATTCGATGCGCAGATAGTTTTTTCCAATTCTCCATTGTTTTAAAGGTATCAAATGGGAAACGAACTGATTGTATGTTTTGAGAACTAAGTCATCATTGAAAAATATATCGGCCACGGTATCCAATCCACCAGCATTCAATAACATTGCTTTCATCTTCAATTCTGATCAAATTTTATCCAATGTTGACAAAAATTTTAATTATTTATGCTGAAATGAAATCTGGACTATTTCAATCATAATTGCGATTTTGTCCAATTGTTATTGCATCATTCGCTTTATCGTTTATTTTTATATTTTGCTCAGTCTAAAATGGTGATGGAAAAGCTAACAAAGAGGTGTCATTCTACTGGTTCATTTTTACCTTATTTTACCTTACTGCACAGTAAAATTATTTGAAATAACCTAGAACAACACTGGTGCAACTTGAAGTGGATTTATGTCAATCGTCATGAAAATCATTGATAAAGTGATCCTCATGACATGAAATGCTATCATTTTGTTCATATAAATTTGTATAAAATTTGTTTTTTATATTGTAATATATATAATGGTACAGAAATTTTTCTGGCTTAGGAAAAACTTACCATGCTCCAACTTTTGGGAATAGTAAATGTGGTGTAATAAATCCAATTTGTTCGTGGAATCCATCGTAACAAACTATCGTTCTCTCCAAACAGCGGATCAGAAATATAATCTGCAAAGAGTAAATCTTGGTAGATATCTCCTGGCACTCGAGCTAATCCTCGGATAGAGCCACTTGCAGATTGAAAATACCACTGGAATTTGTCCAAATGAAAATTTCCATCGTTGTGTATCGCTCTTCCAAATTTGAATTCAAGTATTAGCAAAAAAGGAACAATGTGTAACATTTTTAACTGAAAATTTTCACAAAAGAATGAACGTGTATAGTCTTTTCCACATGTTTAATTTATTCGGCATTATCTTGATGTTATAAATAAACTTATACAAATTAAGAAATCATTACATGAAATTACATAAGTCTTCTACTCAAAACTTCTGTTCTTTATTCTAAATAATACTAAAAAGATGAGTAAATAATACTAGAAAATAAATTCACAAGCAGAAATTGAAAATTTTAGTTCCCCACATTATACCTTCATACTCGCATCTAATATCAAACATAATAGCAGCCATATTAAAGCGTATTTTTTGAAACATTGAAAAAAAAATACGGTACCCTTTTAGGAGAGGAAAGAAATGGAAATATGCTACTTGCCGATGTGTAGAGGGATTCTTCGAATCTGAATACATCCGCTCACTTGTTCCTTTCGGTTATATACTATGAAACCATTGATATGATAATTTGAGGAAATGCACTCTCAATAGACATTATGTAAACAACAGCTGCTCATAAAAAAACAGTAAAACGGACTTTTGTGAGAAGTCTTTAATGTGAGCACTTCCGTCATATTGATTCATCTCACTAAGTGTTTCTGAAGAGAGCAGGGTAAGAGGACGGTTTCTTTAATCACATGATGGAAATGCTGAAGCGGAAAGAATAAAGGAAACACTGGATATCAGAAGGCGCTATCCAACCGTAATGCCAAAATAGATGAAATGCGTGACCTATTGTGGAGGGGTTCTCGTCAACTTGAATCTCACTCTATTGGCACTGCTGATAACTCCATCTCTGCTCAGTTTACGTTGTGTTGTGTCGTAAATATCAAACTGTATCTTTACGTGTCTTTGGTATATCTTCACGTATCACGTCTGCTCTTTATATGGTGTCTCAAGCAGATTGAGAGTGATGCGTAAAATGGTTTGAAAATAATTATTATTCATTATACAGCAACTTTGCACATGATTACAAAATCTCTTTAGAAATGTGCTGAGATATATCAGATCCCTATGAAGAAAAAAGGCTTAAAATAGTGGAACTGTTCAACTGTTGAACAACGATAAACTGTATTCATATGGAGATAAAGCAATAAATAATATTACTGAACAAGATACAGCCTACAAAACAAAACATTTAGTTCATTTATATCAGTGATATCGAGTGATAACAATGCAACCGTAGCAGACTATTAACACATTTATTGTTGTGGATTATTACGAATAGTTTTATTCACTTACATTTGAGTGCAATCGGAAATTTTTGCGCACAAACTGATGCCGTGCGGTACCACCGTTTATTTATAAAATTTGTGTTGAGCTTTAAACTTCAGCATCACACTTGTCTTAATTAAGTTCAGAACGAAACGGTATACGCCAGGGCGTAAAGAGATTTAATGATGAGATTTTAAAATGACAAAATAGGAAAGTAGATCCAGCCAACATCTCATAAAACTAACGAACCTACAACCTAGTTTTACATAAACACCTGACATCTAATCGAAAGCAAGCCAAACTGATGTCTTAGGACAACTTCCATCTTTCTTATCACTTAATTCACCGAAATTTGATCCTTAATGTATTCTCTCCCGAATTTTGATTATACTATAGTTTATTCTTTTCTCAACCAATTTTTATTAAACTCCCACTAACAACGGAACGAGGCAGCAGAAATACCGGGAGAAAATCCTTTAAAAATCAGCAATTGCTCAATTGAGTGAATAATCGAATGAAAATATTAATCAATGACATGACTACAGAGAGACATGTACTAAAAAGTTATAGGTTTTATTTTTGAAATTCTTTCAAAAATATTTAACCATAAATTAAATTATCTAGAACTGTTTAAACAAATGTATAAGAACATCATTCTTATGGGAGCACGGAACAATTAGCCACATCTATTATTTAGTAGAATGATGAGAGTAATCACTAATAAGGGTTTTCAATATATTTTGTGTGAATCAAATCTGTTCAAGTGAATTAAAGGAACTTTTCTTCAACACCCATTCAAATATAGGAAACAAAGCATCAGTGGTTCACAAAATTTTGGAATTCTGCGTCGGATTAAGAATTACAGATTTAGGGAAGAGCGTAACAAGGTTCGGCCAACAAAACTATATCATCAATCTGTGTGATTTAAAGTTAGTATAAAGTATATCGAAATTTGTCACTATATATGGTTCTTCTTGAAATGACTTCAATATGCTGTTATTATATCAATTTCCACCATGAAACAATGACAAATGGAAGATTAACAGAGAAAATAATGTAAAGAGAATAACTGCACAGCTGTTGGATCACTTATTTTTGACAACTTACTGATTTTTCATCGATTGTATCTCACATGAAAAGCGTTGCGTCGCACTTGCTAGACAACACAAAAGACTTCTGGATAATTCATCAGTACCAGATAGAACATTGTAAGCCAAAAAGCAGCAATTTATGAAACTGGAAAAGATTAAACGTGAGAATAAGCATATATTTTGCTGACAAGTTGGCATAATTAAATGATTCGGAAAAGGATGGTAAAGTAACTTGATAAAACAATATATGAAAGCATTTTAAAACATGAAGACCAGAGGAAAAATATATTTGGGTGATAAAATATATTGCCCCTTTACAAAATTATGGACATAAATATTTCCAATTAGGAGCAAAATTTTCGAGTCAACTGTATAATTTTCCGTGGAACATCGCTTTCGCTACTCCAACATATATATGTGTCGAATATGCCACGTGTTTTCACATATTCCAGAAAGCTTGGTATATTGCCACCAACACCGAAAACATTTTTGCAGCTAACAAACTGAAGTTTGTAATTACATAAATTTACATTAAAAAATTACATAAAAAAACAGGAGGGAGGGAGGGGGAGGGATAGAGGGGACGGGGGAGAGAGGAGAAGAGGGGAGAGGGGAGAGGAGGGGAGGGAAAAGAGATGGAGAGGATAGGAGAGGAGAAGAGGGGAGAGGAGAGGGAGGGGAGGGATAGAGAGGACAGGAGAGAGAGGAGAAGAGGGGAAGAGGGAGGGAAGGGAGCGAGAGAAGAGAAGGGAGAAAGAAGGAGAGGAGAAAGATGGAGAGGACAGGAGAGGAGAGGGGGGAGAGAAGAGGAAGGGGAGGGATAGAGAGGACAGGAGAGAGAGGAGAGGAGGGGAAGAGGAAGAGGAGGGAGTGAGAGAAGAGGAGGGAGAAAGAGGGAGAGAGGAGAGATGGAGAGGGCAGGAGAGAGAGGAGAAGAAGGGAGAGAAGAGAGGAGGGAAAGAGGAAGAGGAGGGATAAAAGGGCGACGTAGGGGAGAAAGGAGGGAAGGGAGGGAGGACAAGAGGCAGGGGGAGAAGAGGTGGGAGAGAAGAAAGAGGAAGAAGAGGCGAGAGCGTGAGGATAGAAAGAGGGAGAGGAGAAGAGGAAGAGGGGAGGGGCAGAGAGGGCAGGAGAGAGAGGAGAAAAGGGAAGAAAGAGGAGGGAGAGAGAAGATGAGAGAGAAGTGGGAGAGGAGCGGGGGAGGGGAGGAGGAGAGGGGAGCGGAAAACTCAGCTCACCGTTCTCCAAGGGAGCATGTTTGCAATACTGGCAGCAAACAGTGACCGATATCAAAAACTGATTAGATCAAACTTCTCTTAAGTTATATACGTTCCAAATTCAATTACCTATCCATCTATAATATATGTATGAGAAAGTAAGGAACAAAATTTTTCTGTTTCATTAAAGCGCGCATTAGACTGAATAAAAGAAATGAAATACTTCAAACGTATCAATATTTACCGAATGATATTTAGTGCCACTTGAGATATATGTATTTATTTATTTATTTTTTATTCTTCAATATCAATTTTTTAAATACTTAAAGGAAGAAAATTGACTTTTCATTACCTTTCCTTTTTCGTTTCAAATTCGATTATTAAAAATCATCGACTAAATCTTTTCTCACAATTCCAAACAGACAAACTGTCCATTAACAACATTAATAAACTTCCGATTAACCACAGTATATTACTGTTTTGGTCCTGACAATTTCTCCAATACATCTTTTTTTTTCACTTTGCTTTGCTGCAAACAACAGTCACCAGTATTGCTGATAAGGCAAGCTATGATGAGTCGTAACTAGAATTATTTATAATGTTCTGATTATATGCAGATAAAGACATAAATAAGTTGAAATTAGTTAAAAATCACACCCTCTCTCGGTAAATGTGTGTGAAAGTGAAGATTATGAGAAGTGAGTCCAGTTAAGTAATAATAAGACAGGAAGGCTAGAAAGAGTGGTGATAAGCGTACTAATTAGCAAGTTTATAATGAAATTTACTGGTCATGTTTGAAGTATAAACATCCATAGCTATTAAATCGTCCAAATTTTAATTGCACCCTTCACCATACAACATTCCCAAACCAAACTGTTTTCATTGAGTTGAACAATTTTCACTCTGCTGCGATCAAAGTGATATAACGCAATGCTGTATTTGTTATGTCGATATCGCTTGTGTGCTCATTCTAATTATTCGTTTTTGTCATTGTTTATACTTCCGTTGCCTAGTTTGGCTCTGTTTTTTGATGTCTCGAGGTTATTTTGGAAGACGAAATCAGCAATGAGATTATTTGTCCATTTTGGTGCATGTTTGTCTTTGATGAGTTAGTCGGTATTATTTTCATTCATCACACGGAATAGCCGAAATTTTTATCACACTTTACATATTTCGTGAATGTTACTAAGAGGTAAAATAGCACTGTGTAGGACAAATCTTCAGCTAATTACTGCATTTTAATTTACTCATTATCCGTCGTATTATAACT